CAAGGACTTCATGGCCGGAGAATCTCTACACTCCAATAGTTTGTCTTCTGGACAGGGGATATCCTGTATGGCGATCCCTTGGGGTAACTCCTGTTCGGGGTTCCCTGGGAATAACACCTGTTCGGCGATCCCTGGAAAAAAAATAAAGGTCAAAGACGATGAAGAAGACCCGTCTTTTGTTGGTGGATAGACTCAGGTCCGGTGTTTTACTGTTTCAGGGACGTAGCATCGTTTTTAAATTGTGTGTGTGTTTGGAAAGGGGGGGGGGGAGGATTGACAAGATACATGTATCTGAAAAAATTTTGACAAGCAAAAAATAAACAAAATGAATTAAATTGTCCGAACTCGAAAAACCTATTTTGATCTGGGGGTGCATGTATAGGTTCTAACTTTTAACGAGGAAAATTTTACAAGTTTTATAACATATATGTGGTAGGATTTAACATACTGCGACATAAAAAGGGGCACAACAACCATGTAAATATTTTTCCCCATACTAAATTACCAGAAGGATATCCTCCTCCCACTACGGGCTTTTATTTAAGCAGGACGTAAGAATGGAAAGTCATATAATTTAATTGATACTGGTGTCAGAGCATACTGGTCTTCTGATGCGGATGATGAAGTGCATTAGTGGGAAGTTCTTTTCCAAGTAAAGGGACATATCAAATTTCAAGAGGAATTTCACAAAAGGGGGGGGGGGGGCAAAATACATTAATCGATTTCTCATCCTTCGATTTGTAGATTTATTCATATTTTATTTTTTCCGTTTGCACTTTGAGGAGATGAGAAGCTTTTGTATTATTTTCTCTGTTGTTCAATTACATTTACGTGTTTATTTGATGCAAATAATCAAGATTTTTTTTTCACAACTGGAAAAGCGATTTATATATTATATATACATGACGTATATATACATAATTCATTAAATGAATAGAATTAGAATGAGTTAGTAATAGAAAAGTCTAAAATGCATAAGTACCTGATGCAAAAGAGAGAATTAACAATATCCCTGTAATTTTTGTAGCCATGTTGTACAGGTCCTGTGATAACAAACTTGTCCTCCGATCGCTGTCTCGCAGCTGATCCGTCCCGATGGCCGGAGTCCCACAGGGTTCTGTCCACTAATTGGGCAAACTCGAATGACCTGCACATAATAGGGACTTTTGTGAAATGTAGCATATTTAATCTTTTACTTTTATACAAGTTTTTTAAGATACATGGTGTAAACATTTCTTAAGTTCTTTGGCCTTCAGATTTTTTTAGGGATTAAATTATTCGGAAGCGTAACAGAGATTTCAGGGCTGAAATTTTTGCCGACTTGTACATTTCATTTTTGTTATCATGCTGTAGCGGATTTAAAGGGTTTAAAGGGGGTGGGGTGGGGGCTTCGGTATAATTTTGGACATTGTGCTCCTTAAATATTTAATTTGAATATAAGTACCGAATGTATACTTATTTAAAAATTAAGATATATAAATATTTTTTTAACATCACCCCCACCCCACACCCACTCCAAAATCTCCTGGAGCAACTCCTACGCACTATTGTAGTAATACTGTATTATTCTGAGATGTTCAAGAAGAAAAGCAGCCCATACTTACACACATACGCTTTTGGATTCTTCAAACACTGAATATTTTACTGAATTATCCTTACAATTAGCCGGTGATTGAAGGAGACATTACATATAGTTTACATATATAGTTTCCAGGTAAAATTCACAATTCATCCTTTTTTTTCTGGAATGCGATCATTGATTAAACACATGTACATGTAATTCGATAATATGTGAAAAGGATTCTATACGATTAATGAAATCGAGGATAATATGTGTGAATGTTAAGCCTTTAATATACATGCAGCTTTACAAAACCAATTTCCACTCATACAAAGCAATTCCTTCTTTGAAATGTACCTGAATCTGCCTCATTTTCATCCCGTAATAGTGGTATGCTGTTGTGAAGTTATAGATACTGCGGACTGATGACTAATAATTATATATGGAGACAAACATTCAAGAGATTTAAATTAAGTGTGTGTGTGTAAAATTAAAAAAAAAGAGAGAGAAAAGGATTCAAGGTCTATTACAAAACACCCCAACCTCCATGTACATAAAAATTAAATAGGTTCGATTTTCTTAATATGGTCACATACAGCCAGGACTATATGCAGTCTTGAAGGGGGGGGGGGGGAGCGAGAGAGAAAATGTAACGGACCGGGCCAGACCTAGGATTCGAACCCTGGCTCGCTAAACTCGGAAATGTGCTCTACCAACTGAGCTTTCTTGCTTCGGTCGATTGAATCTTGTTCTCAAAAACACAATCCAAGTTCTTTTGTCCCTGGCAAGATTTCCACCTATAACGCGTACAAGTGGAGTGAATCAATGTTGCCGTACTTGGCCAGAAATATTTGGGTTTTGAAACGTACAATTTTATGAAACCTAATATTTTCTTAAATTTAAATAATTTGCCCGAGCTAAGCACTCTCTCTCTCTCTCTATATATATATTTTTTCAATTTTCTCGTTTTAGCATCAATGTGTCTACTTTTTTTTTTTAAATTCACACCTAAGGTAGGAATGTTAGGACCACTCTTAAAACTCCATCTGTCAAGCCAATTAGGGAAAATACAAAATGGGTTAAAATGAGCTCCCATACAACAGTACCCCCAAATAATACACTGTTATTTGATTCAATGTTCGTAACCCTAAAGCCTTAGTACCCAAGAAGAAAACATACAACACATTTGGTTCCACTTTTTAATGTTTGATGAGGAAAAAAAAAAGGATTACATTTAAATAACTCATTTAAACTTTGTTATATGTTAACTTCATTATATACGCCGTGCTTTCAAATTACCAAAACATTTAGAAAACACACACCAGTAATATCACAAACAAGATAACTAAGTGATATTGCACATACTGAATTCTTGACACCTAAACAAAAGCAAGCCATTATGCTGGAAAATAAGAAAGAGTTGGAATTCTCACCTTTTTTGAGCAGAGATACTAACATTGTATTCAGTTATAACAATGTTGTTGAATTATTTTTTTAAAATCTAGACTTCTTACATAAATCAGATGTTTTTTTAATTATACCTAGTACCTTATACAAGCAAAGGACAGTAGAGATACTAACATTGTATTCATTTATAATAATGTTGTTTAATTATTTTTTTTAAATTTATACTTCTTATATAAATAAGACTTTTTGTTAATTATACCTAGTACAAGCAAAGGACAAATTCAATAAAGCATCTAGTATCCACTTCCTAACCCTCTGCTGTTAAAGAAAAAGTTACGATTTATTCACAACAAACATTTATACTAGAGAATAAATAAAACATGCGAGATTCTTCTTGATTTGTAATAAAATACATGTACCTCTATTGTTTCTCAAGTATTGGAAAGTTTAAAGTCACACAAAATACCACTTACTCAAAGAAATACAATATTAAAGAAAAGAAATATAACTTTGAATGAGTATGTCTACAAACTAGATCTTTAACTAAATATGATTTCATTTAATGTGATACTATCTCTGTCTAATTACAGATCACGTAGTGCCCACAACCATTAAATAATGCAAGGAGAAAAATAAGCTCACTACACTTTATATATATATTATCCCTAATAAAAGAAAAAACAAAATAAAACTATCTATATACTATAGTAAATAAATAAACAACAAAAATAGGAAAATATTCAGAAAACTAACAAAAGTAAATAGGTATTAAACAAAGAGACTCTTAGAGAGTGGATTTCATAATGAATTTGCTGGGACAAATTAAACAATAGATTATAGTAACTTTAAAATGTGAACTATGAAATCTAAGTCAATGTAATGCCACATGTGAGTTTCACCTGCAAAAAAAAAAAAAAAAACATTAAAAAGATGTAAATTAACAGAGGCCTATGTTTCCTGATATTTCTCTATAGAAAACATGATGATAAAGTGTTGTATTCTGAATACTACAATCAATGACTGATGTTTTAATAATTGAAATCATGTGTAACAATTATTCTCCAGAACATGAAAACACACAAAATAAATTGACATGTATGCTATAAGTTATATAATTTTACTCTGAATGACATTTTTCTCCACTACAGTAAGGGATTATCTCCATTACTTTCTCCTTTCACACCAAATTACGATTCATTTTATTTAATAGTACTATACGAGGTGTGAAACTCATCAGTCATAACATATAAACAAGTGACAAGATCCCTGTTTTCATTCTACAAAGCACCATAATTTTTTTTTTTCAAAAATTTCCTCATCCCCCATATGGGTTGAGTTGACTACCATTTGAAATGTCATCAACATCATCAAGAATGCAGTAAAGATATTGACTTCTTTAAACAAACATGTTCAATTTTCTTTTCATGAAAATCATACATTACTTGGTTCAAAACCAAGAAGAACATAATGTGCGTCTCATTGCACAGGTAACAAAACTTATTTAATTACATAAACAAAAATTTCATGCTTAAAAATGACATATTTCCATACAAATCACTTCTGCTTTGAAAAATATCTAATACATCCAGATAAAGAGAAGGAGTTCTTAACAATGTCAGGCAAGGTTAGCAATGTCTTAAAACAGAGACAAAAAGCTTCTAGGAATGTAAAATGGTTTGGAATGTAGGTAAAAAAAATGTATCTTAATAGGAATGTGTACATAAATATGTATTAATCAATTAAACAGAATGATTTCATGATACTGCAAAATCACACATATTTTTGTGGGTTCAAATTTTTGTGGTTTGAGGAAAAAATATGGGCTCTTGGGGATTTAATTTCGTGGATGAAAAATTGTTGAATAATTTATATATGAAATTTAAGTTTTATATATGAAATTTAAGTTTTATATATGAAATTTATGTTTTTTATGTATGAAATTTTAGTTTTATATACGAATTTTTACATTTCGTGGTTGTCAGAGTTCATGGGTCTCTTCATACCTTGAAATCAATGAAATTTAAACCCCCAAGAAAATTAGTGACTTTACAGTATATTTCAAACAAAAATATTTGTGTAGCATATGGAAATATTTTCCTACAAAACCCTGTAAAACCATTTCAGAAAGACATCCTTTAACAGCATATATTTGATATATTTACTATGAAATTAATCATTGACATTTTATGTTAGATTAAAATCATCAATGGTTACATGAATTGAAAAACAGTAGTGAGCAAATCAAAGAGAACAAAGGCTAACGATAGGCCAGACAGAGATTCTATTGGTCCACTGTAAACTGTCAAGGAAGCTTTGTTGCGTTTCATCCCTTCTGTCACTTAGGCAACACAGGGTGTTTTATTATGTGTGAGGGAGTTTCTCTGTGTGAGAAGTCTCAAACGGGTTGTCATCATGCGACTGAAAACAGAAATAACAACAAATTTAAAATAGGTTTATAGAGCATAAAAATTACTTTATATCTGGATCTTTACACAGTCTGTATCAAATAAGATGTTTAAAATGTGCATCTTTCAATAAAGATTAAGTTACATGTACTTTGATTTGGGAATTTAGAATTTTGAAAGATCATAGAAACACATGAACTTTAAGTTTAAATGTCAGATACTTCGGGGACTTGTTTGCTTAAGAGAGATGGGACTTTAAAATTATAGTATCAAAATACCCATTTATCTTGGACATATCAGACCAGAGGGCATTTATATGAGCATCTACTGAATAGTTTTTGTACAATATACCACTATTCCTGTCAATGTTCCTTGTATTTTTTTCCCCTCTAAGCTTACTGAATGGTTTTTGAACAATATACCACTATTCCAGTCAATGTTCCTTGTATTTTTTCCCCTCTAAGCTTACTGAATGGGTTTTGTACGTTATACCACTATTCCTGTCAATGTTCCTTGTATTTCCCCCTCTAAGCTCACTGATAGTTTTTGTACAATATACCACTATTCCTGTCAATGTTCCTTGTATTTTTTCCCCTCTAAGCTTACTGAATGGTTTTTGTATGTTATACCACTATTCCTGTCAATATACCTTGTATTTTTTCCCTCTGAGTTAACTTCATAGTTGATTGTTTATTATACCACTATTCCTGATGACGTACCTTGTATTTTTTCCCCCTGAGCTTACTGAATAGTCCTTTTTTCTTGGTTTCTGAGAAGGACACTGTATCAAAATGTTCATCCTCCCCATCCTCTAGGGCACATGAGTCGACACCTGGCAACTCCCCATCGTAGTTCGGGCCAGAACCCTCCACCAACTTCATATACTTGTACTCAAGTCTATAAAAGAGGGCCAATTATTAACTTTACACACATCCTCAATATACATATAACCCTTCTCAAGTCTATAAATAGGCCAATCATTAGTGGTACACAAGTCCTCAATGTAAACACAACCCTCACTACTGTAATGATTTTCCCCTTAGATTCCAAAAAATCCCCTGACGTTCCCCTGTCTGTCCCTGACATTTTCCTGTCTCCCCCTGACTTTCTCCTATGATCCCCTGTCGTTGTCCCTGACTACCCTGTCTACTCCCTGACGTCCCCTGACTTTGCCCCTGTTACCACTGTCTAACCCCCTGATGTCCCCTGACATTCCCTGACGTCCCTGTCAACTCCCTGATGTCCCCTGACTAAGTCCCTGACCACCCTGCCAACCCCCTGTCGTCCCCTGACATTCATTTTGACCAGGAAAAAGAGTTAAAATATGTATTGTTGCTATTTACTTGTGAGAAATACGTTACTCTTGGCAATTCTTAAGTTTTGTGAAAATATATATTTAGTCAATTGTTATTTGTTTGAATATCTTGAGAAATTTATTTCTTAATGTGATTGTATTTGATTGTTTTAGTTTACTACATGTAGCTTTTAGATAAATTTTATGGAGAATAAATGCCAGTTACTTTGAAAAGAATAAATTACAAATTTATTGAGTCTTGTTATGAATGGCAAGTAAATATATTTATATTTATTTATATGTTTATCTATATATCCACATGTATTTATTTATTTATTTGTTTTATTCATTTATTGACTAATTTATTAATTAAATCTGTTCATATATTTCTTTTTAGATATATTTTCCTTATTGAATTATTAATTAATTGATACATATTATATATTTATTTAGTTTTTAATTCATTTTATTTTAATTAATTAATTCTATTTTATTCAATTTATTTGTGAGTTTCGCATAAACAGTCGTAAGGTAAAACAAGATATAACAGTGCGACATTTAACTCCGGACACGACATTTGTCCGGACTTTCGCCAACCACTTTTCCAAAGATATGTGGAAACCATTTATGTCATCTGATGGGATTTTTTAAAACTTAACACATGAACCAAAATTTACACCTGATTATCTTCTAGGTAAAAAGATATTACATCTGAAACCAAGAAATCCCATGGGATAATGGTGGGATTTTTTCTCCTTACCAATATCCCACCATTATTCTGTGGGAGAAAAAGGTATTCTGTGGGATTTTTTCTCCCATAGAAGTTTGAAAATCCCATGAATGCTTTATAATGGGACAAAATCTCCCATATACTTGTATATAGAAGATAATCTCCCATCTCTTTATAAATGTGGGATTTATCCCATATTCATTACAAAATAGAAAAAAAATTCTCCCATGGGATAAAGAAACAACAGTTTTAAACCAAATAAAGAAACTATTGAACAGTTTAACTACTATTAATTATTTATTTTCATTTAGGTTATGTGTTTCCTAAACCATTTTTTTTTTAAATTTCATAAAATTAACCAATTTTGGGGTAATGTTTAATTTTTTCAATGATTAAAGATCAAAAAATCAAAAGTGGTTTTATCTCTATAACTTTCATTTTTTTTTTTTTTTTTGTTTTTGTTTTTTTTTTTTTAAGAAAAAAGGCAATTTCCCTTGTATGTAGATTACCTTCTTTTATTCCTTGTATGTAAATTTTGAATGGGAAAAATAAAAAATGCAATTAAGAAAGAACAAATCTTTTTTTGTTTATTTTCCTCCTAATCATTTAGGTTAATTTATTGCATAAGTGTCATTTGTCAAGCTTTACAACATGATCAGATCCATGCACGTTGTTAGATCTTTGCCTGTTTGCTACACTAAACTGATAGGTTTCCAATTAAAAAATCACATGAAATTGGGTCGTATCAGTCACTCTGAGATTCTTAAGAGAGTTTTAAAACTTATTTACATGCACAAACTGTAATAATTTACCTAATTTTTACTTTTAATTTTCTTTGTATGATCCTGATCATGCCTTGTTTTGTTCCAATGACAGCTGGAAATTATTTTACACATAACGAACCCGATCTGACAAATGAACAGAAAATAATGTTGAAAAAAATTCAACCATCTTCATTATGCACATTTACTGGTAGTTTGCATTAAAAATATTTAACAACCTTTTCACTTATTTCAAAACTTTCTACCTACACCTTAGAAACATATCAAGAATTTTCGACAGTTCATTGAACCCGTTCAAAAATAAACATGATGAAAGGGCATGGATCCAGAAATATTTGCGGTGGTACTCTACTCATTGTTTCATATCATCCAGTAGAAAACAAGTTTTCCTTAGTTCTGTTACTTCTTTAATAAAAGCACTCTGCTGATCTTTTACTTGTTATTTTTTGGTATATATAATAACCATGCACCATTGACATGTATTCAACTGATAATAGCCAAGTCACCTTAGGCCATTGCAAGTTTCTTCTTTGTTAAACGTCAGCATGCACCTTGTTTTGGACACCCCATAACACATAAAATAAGAGGTCCAGGCCACAGTTAGTTAATGCTCACTGTTAATACCCACGCGGATGCAAATATAGCAGAATGATATTGGGTACATGTATTAAACTTTTACCTCAGTAATCTACGTGTAATTTAAATAAGATGTTAGATCCGCACGCATACTCGCTAAACTGACTGTAGTGACTATGTGAGCGGATCTAACATCTAATTTTAACTAGATTGGTTCTTAAGTGGCTTAAATTTATTCAACTTCTTTCAGGAAGATTTTCAATTTTCTTGTCATAAATGCATACTGTCAATTATTATGCTTCCTGTCAGTTTGTCTCTACATAACCCATACCCTACTATTCTTGCATAGTGTTCTAAGGATTTAAATAGCATAAGCATACTATGCCGAAATAGTGCACGACTTCATTTTCTGAAGAAAAACTGACTGCACCCACGCCTGGGAGCGAACTCACAACCCCGAGATTGTCAGTCCGACGCGCTACCGATTACAACACAGACGCCGTTATAAATATCAATGTACTATAATATATATAAACTTAGTTTCAAATATTTTACACTTAAGTAGCTGCAGAACTGTAGCTCTCAGAAAAAATATATGTTGACAGACCAGAGAGCTACAGTGCCACCCATTGAAAAAACTGTATATTTATTGCGCACAAAAAAGTGCGCTCGGTTCTGAATTAATTCCTCGAAATTTTTACCTCAATTGAAAAAAAAGCTACATTTCAAAAAAGTCCTTACTCCTCTATAACTTTCGTAGTTTATACTTGTACTAAGTGCGTTGGACCGAATTCTCGTGAAGACCAAAATGGTAGTATAAATAGGCAAAATTTTCAATGATTTCAATTTCAGGGCCAGGAGGGCTGTTAAAAACAATTATAAGGAATGTTTTATTGTGGAAACAGTGAAAGAATATGTTAGAAACACACGTTTAGTAATATTTTGAGATGACAGTTTTAAAAACACTGAGAAATAAATCGAGAAACAGCGCACGAAAAGTGCACAATAAATATACAGTTTTTTCTATGGGTGGCACTGTAGCTCTCCCGTCTGTCAATATATATTTTTTCAGAGAGCTACAGTTCTGCAGCTAACACTTAAGATGAAAAATAAACAAAATAATTCTTCTAAAATAGTTTCTTGCAATTGCCCCCATCACTCAACTACTATTCTCTAAAACTATCTGTACATTATACCTAAAGCCTCCGGCTTGTGCACCATGTGTCAAACCCTGACTACTTTTTAAGAATAGTGCATGCAAAATACAACACTATTATATAAATATGCACATTTCATGAGTTCCCTAGTTCATTGAATAAAGGTACACATACCTTCATTTTACATTTAAGGACATACGCAAGATACCTTACCTACTGATAATTTTTCAAGATATTCTAAATTTAAACTTATAATACATGTACCATATAACATATTTTTAAACAAAAAATCAGCATGCATTTCCAGGGATTTTGAAAAGATATTAAAGTTTGAAAAATTTTGCATTATTCAAAGAAAAATGTACAAAAATTACAAAACATAAATTCCAGATTTTTTTTATCAAAATTGTTTTAGAAGAGATTTACAAATCCATATATAGACAATAAAAATATTGCACACAGGTCCTTCATTTAGTGGAACTCTTCAACTCCAGGGAAGAACCCAATAAAGTGCAAACTACGTTGCGTATGACCTTAAATGCCCGTTTATATAAGAGAAAAATAAATTAAAGAACTTGTTCTAATTAAAATAATGAAAAAAAAAATCCTTATTTAAGCCTTTAAGTTTAATTTTTAATTAAGAAATTTGACAGATGAATAAAAAGAGTAATATACAATATAATACTTCTTAAATTAATTCTCTTGGTTCCATTCATTAGATATTCAATATTCGAGTCAACACTCTATACATGAATGAATTATCAAAAGTTTTGTCCTTAAAGTTTTCAATGGATCCACAGATCATGAGGTGATGTCTCCTTTTATGTGTATGTATCTGTGTACACTGAAAAAAAAGAAAGTCGCTGTGTGATGAAAAGGATAAACCCGAAGTCTCTGATGAGACTGTAGCTCTACTGGTCTATATGTATAACAAAGAAAAAGTAACACTTGGATTTGAAACTTTGCAACAGACGGCAATAAATAGAATTATGTATCTAAGTGTAGTCTACTTGTGTGCCACATTATATTGAAATCATACCAAAATTGTAGGTGGAGTAGCGTTTTAAAGGAATTTTACAGAAATTTCTATTTTTAGTAACCATGGCAGCACCGTTCATTGAAATGTACCTTAGTGCAGTCTAAGTTATATTGAAATCAGAATAAAACTGTAGGAGGAGTAGTGTTTTGAAAAATTACAAACAGATGGACAGCTAGACAGACAGACAACTAGACGCCATGGACAGACAGACAGACGGACAGCTAGACGGATGGACGAGGGACACCTTCCTATCCCATAAGCTCTTCTGGTCTCTGACCAGTAGAGCTAAAAAAAAATATCAAATTTGATTTTTTTTCAA